CCCAGCCCACCAGCAGTCTAGAGCTTTGCCAAGGCTTTACTCCCACCATGAGCCCTAGGTTGGGGTTTAACCTACTCTTTGTGCCTCACTTGCCAATATTCTCAAGATTTTTCCAAGGATAAGATTTTCATCTCCCTCAGCAATCTATGTTCTCCACTGTTTCCCTCCCCTGACTCCTACCATCCAACCACGCGGAGCAGATGCTGTGCAGGACTCCTCCCCGGGAGCTCCCGAAAAACCCTCAGCCATAAGTCCAGTTGCTTCTTTGGGCTCAGGTGAAAACATAAATAAAAAATAAAAACACCCTTCTCTCCTCAACAGGGTCTGTTGTGTTCCAACCCTTAAGTCACTCACACTGTCTCCCTTGTTCCCAGAGCATTTTATAACACTGGAGTCAGAAACAGGTAATGAGCTGCTCCTTTGGAAATCCAAACATAATAAAACTAGCCTCAGAACAGAAATGCCCCAGAGACAAGGAAAGGGACACAGAAACAAGGACAGACCAGGAGACTTTCTCCCTCCCTCCCTCCCTCCCTCCCTCCCTCTCGTCCTTTCTTCCTTCATTCCTTCTCTTCCTCCCTTCCTTCCTTTCCTTACTTTCCATTTTTTCTCTTTCCTTCCTTCTTTATTTCCTTCTTTCTTTTTATGAGGAAGCTGGCTGCAGGGTTTCACTTTGTGGTTCAGGCTGGTCTCAAACTCTCCATCCTCCTACCTCAGCTGGAATTACAGATGTGTGCTACCATATCTAACTTGATTTCTGCCACAAATACCATTGAGACTCCCAATGAGTTTCTTGGAGGAAAACACACACACACACACACACACACACACACACACACACATACACCATTGAATCAAAATCATGGAGAGAGCCACAAAGTCAAAAATGGAAGAGTTTTCTACCTGATGGTAGTTAAAATTAAATAGGATAGGAACATGGAGGGAAACCATATGCTGGACAGAAAGACTTTCTAAACATAAAGCACAAAAAAAGCATACAAAAATCTAGCATATTGTGCCAACCTAGAATCCCCTGTGAGAGGCTGGGGACATGCTCAGTGGTAGAATGACAGCTTAGAATCCCCTAGTGAGAGGCTGTATGTGTGACTCAGTGGTAGAGGCCCTGCCTAGAACCCCCCAGTGAGGGGCTAGGGATGTGCTCAGTAGCATAGTGTTGCTCCGGCATGCACAAGGTTCTGGGGTCAATGCAGCACCATCCCTACCTCTACCTCTGAACACTGAGGAGACTTTTCTCCATTTTCTCCACTGAACAAGATGGTCCAAAAATGAAACTGACAAAGGATTAACAACTTTCAATGAAGAAAATTACAGATTAGTTTTTTGTAAAAAGAAAAAAAAACAAAAACAGAGATCCCTCAAATAGGGAAAGAAGACAGAGAAACCCCAAATGATACACATGTTTTCAAAGGCAACACCCTGACAGAAAGCACAGGCTTGCAAAGAGAAACAATCAAAGCACACAGGCTCCTCTCCAACCCCAGGACATTGTGAAAGATTTTTCAAACAACACTCAAAAGCCTGTTCCCTCTATCGAAGGCTGGGATCCACAGGTCCAACACTTCCAGAAAGCCATTTGGCAGTCTGAATCAAGAACCTTTGACCCAAAAATACCACTCTGGAAAACAAGCCTACAGAAACAAAGATAAAGCCTGAACCCCAAAATAGCCAACTTCTTATTGCATAAAAAAATAAAATAAATAAGTGGAAATAGTTCAAGTACAGTAACCCAGATGGTTAAAGAAGCAAATACAACAGACCCATGGAAGGAGCAGTGAGATAGCTCAGTGGGTAGAGGGGTTTGCTGCCAAGCCTGAGGACCTGAATTTGGGACCCACCTCATGGAAGGAGGGAACTGACTCCAAGTTGTCCTCTGAACTCCACATACACTGTGACACATGCATATGTGTGTATTTAAAATTAAATCAATGTAAGCCGGGCATGGTGGCACACGCCTGTAGTCCCAGCACTTGGGAGGCAGAGGCAGACAGATCTCTGTGAGTTCAAGGCCAGCCTGGTCTACATAGTGAGTTCCAGGACAGCTGGGGCTACAGGGAGACCCTGTCTCAAAAAGACCAAAAAAAGCCAGGCATGGTGGTGCACACCTTTAATCCTTTAATCCTAGGACAGCTGGGGCTACAGGGAGACTCTGTCTCAAAAAGACAAAATAAATTAATTAATTAAATAAATAAATAAATGTAAATTAAAAACCAAATAGACCTACTGAATGCCCACTCAAAGAAAGCACCCCAATTAACTATTATCATCAAAGTTCACTTTTTACATATTTTTTAAAATATTATTTATTATTTTTATTTACATGTATGTGTGTGTGTTGCCTGTATATACGTAAGTGCACCCATGTCATACAATGCCCAAGGAGGACAGAAGAGAGCATCAGATCGCCTGGAACTGGAGTTACTTACGGACAGTTGTTAGCCACCATGTGGGTGCTGGGATTCCAACCCAGGTCCTCTGCAAGAACAGCCAGTGCTCTTAACCGCTAAGCCTTCTCTCCAGGCCCTTTTTTACATATTTCTTTTTCCAAATATTTCTTACGCTCAATTTGACTTATATAATCCAACAAGAAAAAAATATTGATATCAATACCCTCAACAACCCAAAGGATCACTAAAACATTCACCATCTGGCACTAGAGGTGGCAAACAGTTCTAGGGCAAAATCTAGTCCCCTACTTCTTTCTGTAAATAGTTTTATTGACAGATCCACACTCATAAGTTGACACCTACCTGTGGCTACTAGCCTGCTACAACAGCAGAGCTCAGAACAGTCATCTGTCCCTATCAGCAGTTTCACTTCCCCACAGACAACTGATTTGAAAATACTAAATGGAAGATTCCAGAAATAACTCATATATTTTCAATGGTGTGCTGTTCTGAGTAGCACAATAACATCCCAAGATGTCCTGTTCAGACCCACCTGATATGTGATTCGGCTCTTTATTCAGCATATCCATACTGCATATGCTACCCTCCTGTGAGTCACTCAGGAGTCACTTACTTCAGATACCAGACTGGCCATCAAGGCATCATGATGCTTAGATTCAAGCAACTCTTATTTTACTTAATAACTTCCCCAAAGGACAATAGTGGTGATGTTTGTACTTTTATCATAGAGTATGATAATTATTCTATTTCATTATTAGTTGTGGCTGTAAATATTATACCAAGTGTGATGGTCTTTTTCTTAATTTTAATTGTGTGTGTGTGTCTGTGTGTATGTGTGTCTATGGGGATTTGTGCATTTGTGTGCAGATGCATACAGAGACCAGAAGAGGGTATCAGATCCCCCAGGAGCTGGAGTTACAAGCACATTAGTGGACCAACATGGGAATCAAACACTGGTCCTTTGCAAGAGGAGGACGTGTTCTTAACTGCTGAGCCATCTTTCTACCCCCTGTGATGGCTTTTCTAGACTGGATCATTTGAGTTGGGAAGACCCACCCTAAATGTGGGCAGCCTCATTTTCTGGGCTGGGATCCAAGAGAAAGCAAGCTGAGCACCAGCACTCATCTCTCTGCTTCCTGACTGTGGATCCAATGTGACCAGCTGCCTCAGCAATTCCCACCATGACTTTCCCACCATGATGTCCTGTACCCTGGAACTGTGAGCCTCCCTTAAGTCGCTTTTAGCAGGTATTTTTGTTATAGTAACAAGAAAAGTAACATATGTGCTTATTTATAAATTAAAGCTTACCATAGATGTGTATGTACAGGAAGAATATAGTATAAATCTCATTGTAATGAATTTTATCTGTGGTTTTGAATAAATAAAATGTAGTTTGGGGCTGGAGGGATGGCTCAACAGTTAGGAGCACTGGCTGCTCCTGCAGGGGACCCAAGTTAGGTTCCCAGCAGCTGCACGGCAGCTAACAAGTCTGTAACTCCAGTTCAGGGGATCCGATGCCCTCTTCTAACCTCCACAGCCATTACACGCACAAGTGCACTTACATATATGCAGGCAAAACACTTATTCATATAAAATAAAAATAAATAATTTTTTTCAAAAGAAAATGTAGTTCATATACAGAGTGGAGTAATAGTCATAAAGAAGAATGAAATGTTCTACATTGTGTTGGTTTAAATGACAAATGTACCACATAGGGTCATGTGTTTGAACACCTGGGCCCCAGTTGATGGCACTGTTTGGAGAGGTTATGGAACTTTTAGGAGGCTCACTGGAGGAAGTATGTCACTGAGGGTAAGGCACTAAGGTTGCATAGCCTGACCGCACCTCTTGTCCACTATGCTTCCTGTATACTGATGCAATGTGATCAGCTAGCTTCCTGCCTTCCATGGCTTTCTCACCATGATGGACTCTATCTCTCTGAAACCATAAGCTGGAATAGACCCTTTCTTCCCTAAGTTGTTTTTGTCAGAGTATCCTATCACAGCCACAGAAAAGTACCTGTGCTGGATGGCGTCAGTTGTCACCCACCCCTGGGAAGAGGGGCCCTCAATTAGGAGATTTCCCCAAACCAGTTGGCCTGTGGACATGTCTATGAGGCCTTTTCTCAATTGTTGAGTGATGTGGGCCGGTCTAGCCCACTGTGGGCAGGTGGTCCTGGGCTGTATAAGAAAGCAGGCTGAGCATAAGCCACAGGAGCAAGCCAGCAAGTACCGTTCCTCCATGGTCCATGCTTCAGTTCCTGCCTCCAAGTTCTTGCCCTGTGTACCTGCCTGACTTCCCTCAAAGATAGACTGAACCTTGGTTGGTTTTAATCAGAGTATTTTATCAGAGCAATAGAAAGCAAACTAGAACAGTAACTAATACATACGTGTGTGTGTAAACCATATTGAAGTGTAACCCTCACAGATAAGGAAGATGGCTGTATTTTCAGTGGAGATTTATAGGGCTTGTACAATCTCCAGTATTCATAATTTAAACCTTCACAGTAGTTTGCCACCCCATGGGCTAGTGAATGCTAGGAAAGGGCTTAGAACAGCGCTGTCCCCAACATACCTTTCTGACAATGGCTATGTGTCCAGCAACGTTCCACGAACTGCCCGTTGATGACGGTGGCAGGGCAGTTGGTCTTGCCCTTCGCGGTGCCAGGACAGACGTCCCCGCACTCCTCATTATCATCTTTGTTCAGAACGATGTAGTTGTCTTCCACAGAATCCAGGATCCGGGACCAGTCGATGGTGGCCAAGTAGCAGAGCTCGTTATTCTTCTCGATGCGGACAGAGCCCCGGGTGATATTCATGAGGTTGTAGAGCCCCAGCTCCTTCAAGTGCACCATCTCAAAGATAACTAGGGCGTAGTTGAAAAAGAGGCGGGAGCCACGGATGACCGTGAGGTTAGGGAAGAGGTCTTTCAGGCTTTCCAGCCCGTAGACCCGGAAGAGCAGCAGATAGTCAGTGATCATGATGAGCTTGGGGAAACTGAGGTCGCGGAAATCTTCGGGTCTCGTTTTGAACATGAGGAGAATCTGCAGATGGCCCTCAATGACCGAGCAGTTCTCCAGTTCCTGCAGCCTGGTGAGGTTGTTCCGAATATCCATGCCGGGACACACTAGAGTGCAGACAAGCAGAAAGCAAGATGGGTGAGCAGGAGGGCTCGGAAGAACCAGGGGCGAGCTGCAGAGCTGGCTCAGCACTTAGGAGCACCGGCTGCTCTTCCGGCGGACCCAGGTTCAGCTCTCAGCACCCACACGGTGGCTCACAACTGTCTGAACTCCAGTTCTATGGATCCAACTCTCCCTTCTGGCCTCTACAGGCATTGCATGACATGGGTGCGCTCACACACATGCAGGTAAAACACTTACACACAAAAAAAATGAAAATAAAGCGAAAAAAAGAGCCAGGCCAGAGCTGCAGAATCAGTAAAGTGCTAGCTGTGCAAGCGTGAGGGCCTGACCTCCACTCCCAAGATCCATGTAATAATTTGGGCATGGCTGGGCATGGCTGCACATGTCTATAACCCCAGGACCTGGAGGCAGAGACAGACAAATCCCAGGGCTCAATGACCAGCACATCTAGTTGAATCCGGGATCCAGTAAGAGATCTGTCTCAAGAAACAAGGTAGAGGCTAGAGATGGCTCAGCCATTAAAAGCACTGGCTGCTCTTCCAAAGACCAGGATTCAGTTCCCAGCACCCAAATGGCAGCTAACAACTGTCAGTAATTCCAGTTCCAGGGGATCCGACACCCTCTTCTGGCCTCTTCAGGCATTGCACAACTCAGGTACACATACATGGAGGCCAAACACCCAAACACATAAAATAAAAATAATTTTTTTCATTTTAAAAAGAAACAAGGCAGAGAGCTCTGGAGGAACTATACTTGAGGTTGGCCACTGGCTTCTGCCATGTATACACATGTACACGTGCCCCAAGCCACACATACATACACATAGAACCATGGCCTAAACATCCCCCAAAGGAATCTAGGTCAACATAAAATAGATTTCTTGTACATTCATGTTCAATGATGCAGTACTGACAGTAGCCAAGGCTAGACATCCATCTACAGCTGAGCCTAGCTGTCCATCAGTAGATGAATGGGGAACAGGGACTATGGGGCAGTTGGTAGAATGCTTGCTGAGCATGCAAGAAGCCCTGTGCTCCATCCCCAGCCCTGCATACACCTGGTGTGGTGCTGCATGCCTATCATCCCAGCACTTGGGAGGTGAAAGCAGAAGGATCGTGGGTTCAAGGTCATCCTTGGCTACATATGGAATAGGAGGCCAGCCTGAGCTACAGGGGATCCTCTCTGAAAAAATAATAATAAAAGGCCATATGTGGTGGCACATGCCTTTAATCCCAGCACTCAGGAGGAAGAGAGGATCTGTGAGATGGAAGCCAGCCTACTCTACATAGAGACTTCCAGGCCATCTGGAGCCACTCAGTGAAACCCTGTCTCCAAAAAAAGCCAGATGTGAAAAGGCGGTACATGCCTTTAATCCCAGCACTTGGGAGGCAGCAGCAGGCAGACTTCTGTAGGCCAGCCTGGTCTACATAGTGAGGTCCAGGCCAGCTGGGGCTAAGGGAGACCTTGTCTCAATAAAATAATAATAATAATATCATCATCAGAAGGACAAAAAAACTGTGACATATACACACAGTGGAGTACTATTCGGTTATGAAGAATGATGTCGGTTTCCCAGTCACCAGCTATGGGGTCTGCACTTCACATATATATATTTGATGGGGGACCAAGAAAGACAACCAAGTGGAGTGAGAAGAGAGACCAGTGGGTGGGTAGAGAACCAACAGAGGGTACCGGGGAATGACTGTGACCAAAATATAGTCATATACATATATAAAATGACATATATTGAAATTATTTTGTATGCTAAAACCAATTAATGGAGGAAAAGAACCAGGGATCGTTTTAAATCATTTAAATCTTCCTGACTGTGGACAGTGCTGTAGTCAGTAGGGGCGTGTGGCTGTCTCTTCCACATCCTGATGTCCTGAGCTTTGGCGATCTGCCCAGTGGAAGACAGCAGTGGTTCTATTTTCAGGCTGTAAGGATTCTCAATACTGTTTTCCCAAGGCCATACCCACTAACACTCCAGCAGTAGTGGGTAACAGTCCCTTTACTCACTTCCACCAGCATTTGTTATCATCTTTCTGATAACAGCTATTGCCCAAAATCTCCATCAATAGATGAGCAGAAATATGGTGTATTAAGGCTGGACAGATGGCTCAGCCATTGAAAATGTGTAGTGCTCTAGCAGAGGACCTGGGCTCAGTTCCCAGCACCTACATCAGGCAGCTCACAACCACCTGTAACTCCAGTTCTAGGGGATTCAATGCCCTCCCTGACCTCCTAGGGCACGTGGGCAATACAATGTGAGAGGTATACTGGCACACACTTGTGATCCCAGTGCTTGAGAGACTGAGGTGGAAGGATCGTGAGCTTGAGGATAGCCTAGGTCAGAAAGTGAGACTGTCTCAAAACAACACACAGCAGAAAGAGAGGGATAAGGAGAGCAGAAAGGAGGAACACTATTCAGCTATAGAGGATGATGTTCTGTCCCTTGTGACAACACAGATGGACCTGAAAGGAATTACAGTGAGTGAAATATACCAGAAAAGATAATACTGCCTCAGCTTACTCCTAAGTGGAATCTAAAACCTTTTTTAAATTATTACACAGTTTTTTTAAAAGGGGCTAGGGGTGTGGCTCAGTGGTAAAACCCCTACCCAGAATTCCCCAGTGAGGGGCTGAGGACATGTCTCCAGAGGTAGAGGGCCTGCCTAGAATCCCCTAGTGAGGGGCTGGGGTCGTGGCTCAGCAGTAGAGCTCCTGCCTTCCATGCCCAAGGCCCTGGGTTCCATCCCCATCCAAAAAGGAAAAGCTACGAGAAGAATTAGGGGCAGTCGTCAGCTTCCCGGTCACCAGCTATGGGCTCTGCACTTCAAATTCCGCAGCCAGCCCAGATGAATGACTTTCCCTGTGAAGCATCCATGCCTAAATAATTCTTCGGTGGCAGGCTCCTGTTCAAAGCCTTAACATAATCATCGCCCCATCTATGATGCAATCAACTCAGCAGGATTAGAGAAGGCTGAGCAAGGGGGCGGGTGCAACGGGATCCCTGCCCCTCCCCTGTGCGTCAGCGCGGAAGGTCTTCAGGAATGACTGACGGGTCACGGTGGCTCACAGCAGAGCCGGACAAGGGAAAACTGGACACATGTTTTGTCCTGTTTTCGCCCACCTCCTCGGTTGGCTATGTTCCCTGCGTGGCTGTACTCCCTGACTAGCTTTGTGCTCCCTTGACCTGCCATCCTAGCTGCCAATCGAGGTCTAATTACCTTTTACTTGGGTGTGGGAAGTTTTCCAGAGTGCCCAATCTCACACACTGGGGGACATGCTCCAACACCCTCCATGGCTCCCCTTGACCCTACACAATTTGTACTCAGGGCCCTAAATGTTCTCAAACCCCTCCAGCCTTTGCACCATGCTAAACAGTCACTCAGTTCCAAAGGTCCCTGTACCCCATGTCACATGATCAGTCAGGAGCAATAAATGATAATTCAAAATAACAGCCAGGCAGCAGATAGTATCTAGCAGGCACTCGATCTATATCAGCTGTGTTGCTATTTCTTTTCTCTAAATACGTCACGGGCATCTCTGGGGCAGTTTTTTGTTTCTTATTTAAAATTTTTCCTTTTCTTTTACTCCGGGGGAGGGGGGGGTGTCAGTGGACAACCTCAGGTGCTGTTCCTCCTCAAGAGCCGTGTACCTCCTTTGTTCATTTGCTTGGGGGAGAGGGGGGTTGTTTTGGTTTGGTTTGATTTTTTTTTTTTTTTTTTTCTTTTTTAAAAAGCAGCTCGAACCACAAAAAAGAGAAAAAAACACTTCTCAGTGCTAAAATGCAGCGAAGAGCCTCCCAGAGAACAAGACTGGTGATTAGATCAGCTATTGCATTTAAGCAGCGCAGGCCGCACACACTGCTCAATTTGGTCTGCTGAAGGCTGGACCAATTTCTTACCCATTTCCAAGCAGCCTAGACATGAGGGAGCTTCGAAGAAGACTTTGTGCTCTTCTTTTCATCTCCATCTGCCCCTAGTTTAGGGACAGTTTCTGTTCCCAGCTTCTCTCCTCTTCCTTCCCAGGTCAGGCATGGGCTGGCACCCTGGCATATGGGCCCAAGTCAGTACCTAGCATCCTTTTGATTTCAGATTCTTATTTGGAAAAAGGATGAGGAAGATAGGAACACAATAGCAATGATGTGAAGACCTTCCTGGTCCTCCCAGCTGGCCTGGAACTCACTATGTAGACCAGGCTGGCTTCGATCTCACAGACATCCCCCTGCTTCTGCCTCCCAGGCGCTGGGATCAAAGGTGTGCGCCACCACGCCCGGCTTTGTTGTTTCATTGTTTTTGTTGTTCCTCCTTCTTTTAGAAACGGGGTCTCTCACGGGTCCAGAGCTGGGGGCGGGGGGAGTCCTTCTGCCTCCACCTCTCCAGCTGGGATGAGGAGTGTGCCACCACGCCTGGCTTTTTTCCCCTCCTCCTCCCCCTCCAGTATCTCCTCCTCCTCCTTCCTAGCCCCCTGCCCCTCCCCCTTCCCCTCCTCCTGCCGTGTCTTCTCCTCCCCCTTCTCCTCTCTTTCCTCTTCTCCTCCGCCTCCTCCTCCATTAAACAGGATATCACTCAGCCCTTAAGAGTACTGAGTGCTCTTGCAGAGGACCCAGGTTCAGTTCCCAGCACTCACATGGTGGCTAACAACAGTTCTTAACTCGAATTCCAGTTCTGGCCTCTGTGGACACTGTATGACACAAATGCACTTACATACATGCAGGCAAACAAACACTCATACACAAACAAAAAATCATTCTAAATATTAATATTTTTTAATCCACCCTGGAGCTTACGGAGTGGCTCAGCAGGTAAAAGGTGCTTGCCACCAAGCCTGACAATGTTAGTTTGATCCCTGGGGCGCACACAGCAGAAGAGAACTGGCTGACACTTTCAAGTTGTCCCCTGACCTTCACAAGCACGCACACACATACACACACCCATACACACACGCACACACCCCTACTCTGATGTGGAGTTTGGCG